AGGAGGGAGGAGGGAGGAGGGAGGAGGGAGGAGGGAGGAGGGAGGGAGGAGGGAGGAGGGAGGAGGGAGGAGGGAGGAGAGGAGGAGAGGAGGGAGGGAGGGGAGGGAGGAGGGAGGAAGGGAGGAGGGAGGAGGAGGAGGGAGGAGGGAGGAGGGAGGAGAGGAGGAGGAGGGAGGAGGGAGGAGGGAGGAGGAGGGAGGAGGGAGGAGGGAGGAGGGAGGAGGGAGGAGGGAGGAGGAGGAGGGGGAGGGGAGGGAGGAGGGGGAGGGAGGGTGGGAGGAGGAGGGAGGGGGGAGGGAGGGAGGGAGGGAGGGGGGAGGGAGGGAGGGAGGGAGGAGGAGGAGGAGGAGGAGGAGGAGGAGGAGGAGGAGGAGGAGAGCGTGTGCGTATCAACCGCTTTCTGGGGACCTGGGGCGGTGCCACCAGTCAAGACGCTTGGGGAAGGACCGCTCTGGGCTCAGGCAGGCCTATGGTCTTCGGCCGTTCCTCGGATCTGGGTTTAAGTAGGGCGTGTCCCTCCACAGGGAGAAAATAAAGAAATAGTAAACACAATAGTCTGGGGACTATTTTTTGACAATTATTTCGGAGGAGGTGAGCTCCTCCCTGCTCTGCCACATTTCAAGAATTCCGCGTGACCATGATCCGAGAAGACCTGTCCGTGGCCCGAGTGGTCCGAGTGGACCTGTCGCTTCTCTGACCCGCCTCCAGCAGGCGGCGTACTCCAGCCCAGCCCCGAGCTCCTTGGAGCTTCGTGCGCCCATCGACTCCCTGTGCCCCTGTCGCCGAATCGTGGCCAGCACCGTTGACGGCCGCCGAATTCTTATAGGTAGCAGTTTCTCCGAGCCTGGCCTTGCTCGCGATGGTTCTCCGTTCCCGTTGTCAGGTTCGTACATCGTTGCGCCGTCTTTGTAAAACACATTTGACAATTGTTGCCACTTGTATGCATACCTTGTTGGGTCTTAGGAATTTTCTGTCCACCGACCGCCTGTAGGGGGACGTGCCCGACCTAACTATAGGTCGCGGAACCTATTCGTGGCCGAGGCCCGTCGTGGCCAGAGATCTTGTTTCGTTCTTTCGTTCGGTGCTCCTAGTGGTAGCGCTCTGGCTGTGCCCCAGAAGTGGTGGACGTGGGCGCTTCCTGGTGGTGCATCCTCCTCCTCGTTCTTCCCCTCCTCCCCCCCTCACTGCTTACGTGTGCCGTTCCTCTCGCCCCCTCCTCGGTCCGCACCAGGCTGCTCTTTCCCCTGCTCAGGCTGCCTCTGCTCTTCCTCCTCCCACGTCAGCAACAACCCCTCCGTTGCCATCTTGGCTCAAGTTCGAGCCCCGTGTCGCGGGGGCTCGAGCTTGTGGTTCCGCCGGAGTGCGACAACCACCGAGAGGGTGCCCAACGCCGCGCGCGCGCCCAGCGCCCGAGCAGGCTCCCGAGCAGATGCCATCTCAAGTCTGCTCTGCTTGCCGTGATGCGGGTACAGTCTCTAGGATTCTTTACTCTCGCCCCAGACGTGAGCGTCAGTTCAGTGGAACATGTTTCTCTGGACGATCCCACAGGATTGAGCAGACGTTGCAGCAGTCTCGAGGCTGGAACGATGACGACGTCGGTTTGACCAAAGCCGTTGACAAGCATAGTAGTAATGCGAATAATAGTACTAAGAAGCAGAGCTTTAATGAGAAGCATACTAATACTAATAACCGTAATGATATCAATATTACTTGGGCTGTTACGGACAAGAAGAAGGAAGGAGGGGCGGCTGCTTCCGCGGTTGGGGTGGCTCCTGCTGACCCTGCCCTTCCTGGTCCTCTTGGTGGGCGGTGCTCACTGTATTCGCAAACCTCTTCGCAGACGGGCGCTCGTGGAAAGAATCCGTGCCCCTTTGATGATGAAGTACGTGGTCCGTATGGTGGTGTATGTGATGAAGTTTTCTACTATGACAATGATGGTCCCTTTGCTTGCCGTGAGGAGCCCTATGATTCAAACCTGCCAGTGGTTATGGCTTCTCACCAGGATGCTCTTATCCAGGCCGTCCACTCCCATGTTGAGAACCTTAACAGCCTCCCTGCTGTTGTTCAGGCCCGGCATGGTATTACTTGTGCCCAGATCAATGAGGGCCACACATGTGTTTTCATGACCTCCCAGCAGCGGGCTCGACCGCCCCCAGAGGGTTAAGCGGGCTGACAGATAGTTGCAAACCGATTTTGAACATTTTGCGGAGCACTCTCAGCGGCTGGATGATTTCAGAGAGTATCTGGAAGCCTTGGATGTTAAGCGTGTGAAGCATCAGTCGGCAGTGGAGTCTTGGCATTCTCAGTCGAGAGCTCTTCCGAAGGCCTCAGAATCCGAGCAGTCTCAGGCAGCTCACCAGGACACATGTATCCCGGCCATCTACGAGAGTTTGGCAAAGCATCTTTCCGTGGATACCCGTGAAGATCGCGATGTCTCTCGGTGTTTGGCACCGTTGCGACAGCATGCAGCGGTTGCCGTCATTGATCGCGTTCGGGTTTCTCTTTGCCCTGTCCGCCCCGCCTGC